GGAACGCGCGAACCGGACACAGCGGCGCGTTAAAAAGGTTTTGAACCGGCCGCCAAAGGGTAGCTGAGGGGGATGGGCAGGGCAGGTTCGCGAACGAGCGCGGGATGGTCGCGCTCGCGGTTCGCATTCTGCATAATTACGGCAAATTGGTGTGACGCCGCGTACGAGGCGCGTCGCGATGTCGCTGAACCGAGAGACTCGCACGCGCGCGCGCGCGCGACCGGTAACGAGACGGCCGCACGTTTAGCTAATTACGCGAGATTCCCCGCGTGACGATGACGACGACAGCGATGATCGGCGGGATCGGCGAATTATCTTTCTCATCGCGTTTTGCTTGGCAACATGCCGAGTTATTTGTGGCGGAGGAAACGACTTTTCTCTCTCTCTCTCTCGGTCTCTCTCTCTCTCTCTCTCTCTCTCTCTCTCTCTCTCTCTCTCTCTCTCTCTCAGTCTCTCAGTCTCTCAGTCTCTCGCCGTGTACCTTCTTCCCGAGGAGGATCATTGACGTTCACGTGAGACGACCGTGCCCTCTCGCCTTGTTCCCGCGACGAGGACTCGTCTCACTTTTTACGGCCGCGTTCGCGAGAGCGTTAACTGCGCGCGGACGGACGACTCAGCGCGACTCGGCTGAGTTCCGAAATTGTACGCGCCGTGGAAATTGCAAAAGTTTGCTCGGAGCGCGGCTCGGAGATAGTCGACTGCAGCGGTCTTTTCGGGATGGATCGTCGCTTCGCGTTCGGCGACACAGATAGGACGGCAGTCGAAGAACAACACGATGATCGAACGCGACCGAGATTTCGTCCTGTTTAGTTGCAAACTAACTTATATTAACTTTCTCGCGGATTATCTCCTACAAGTGGCCCTTATAACCGCCGGAAGATTACAACTTGAGGAAATTGTTCGGCAGACGAGAGCCAAAGTTCGACACCTGTCGAGTCTCGAGACTGGGAGTAGCTACTTCGCGGAGATTCCCTCTCGCCCTCCCGCTTCCTCGCTCTCTCCTTCCGCTTTCTCTGTCTCTCGCTGTCGCTCTCGCTCTCAGTCATCCGCGATGCGAATCTTGAGACTCGCTGGGAGACAGCAAAGTCATAGCGGCTGAGATTAACGTTCTTCCTCTACGTTCACTGTTATTGCCGTTCGTCGTCGTCGCTTGAGCGTCTCACGTCATCGTTTGCGCGTTCTCTTATCGGAGACGCGCGCGGTCTTCCAATTTGCTTCACGTTGATTGGTTAAATATCGATCATTGTCACGAGTAGCGCGGCTATGCAGCGTCGCAACGGCATTCGCTCATTCGCTCTTCCCTTCAATCAGAGCGTAATCATCGTGCAACGGCGTCGAGCATCTCTATTCACTTGCTCGCGGGCCGCGCGTTGGCCGGGCGAGATAAAAATATAGCGACTGCATTTGTCCCCGCTGCTCATTTCTCAGGGATCTTATTATATGGAAATATTACCGGCGGCTACCGAGCGCTCGCGAGCAGCCGCGACATAACGATTCCTCGCGAGGAAAGTGATGTGCCGTGCTCTCTTCTCTGTCTCTCGTTTTCGCCCTCTCTCCTTCTTTCTCCAGTCACAGTATAACCCGAGTCTTCGGCTAGCACAGACCTAGCTGCTCATCAGCCCCGCCCAGCTTTGTTTTCATCGGTGCTTAAGCACGCAATATTTGTGTGGACGTGTGTATTGATTGCCGCTATCCCGAAGCGCAACGGTAATAAACTCTTTTTTTAAATAATAACGCTTTTTTTCGCCGGCTCCGGATCCGGACGCGACATCATCGCCGACGAGGTGTGTCCCCGCCCCGTTTACAGCCATCGCCCGATTCGCACGCGCGCTCTCGCGTAATGAAAAATTGCGAGCCAGCGAGATCCCTCTTCATTAGCACGTCGAGCAGTATCGGTGATCGGCGTTTTACAACGCCGTGACGCGGCCGTGTCGCGCCGTCGATATCGGGCCGATACCGAGTGGAAATCAAGTATTCACGGGAGTTACGCGTGTCGCCAATAACGAGTTGATTAAAGAACGAACGGGAACGAACGAGTCGGCTCCTCAGCATTCATTCTCGTCAAACACCGACTGTTTCATATTGCCGTGTAACAGAGGCGACAATTCCGAGATTTTCGAGCGACCCGGTCGGCCTGGCGAGCGAGAGAAGACAGTCGCGCGTACAATGCCCGGACTGAAATCTTTGGGCCGAAATCCCAGCTAAAATTAACACGAGGTTCGGTTTCTCCGCCGCCGCCGCCGCCGCCGCCGCCGCCGGTAGGAAGAGCATCGCGCGCGCGCGCGCTGATGACATCGCTCGTTGTTTCACGCCTCCAGGCCCATTCTTGCGCGAGTTACGTCAAAGTCCCTGAGATAACGCCTGACGGAGGCAAACCTGCGGTTTCCGCTCGCCGCCGCAGGCTGGTTGCCCCGCTCACGGAGCGGAGTGAATGACCGCGTGACCAGCGGTCTGTTGACACGGCGTGCGTGAGTGTAGTGGGGGCAATGCCCGTTCTAACTCACGCACCACGCACTGGAATGCGGGCGTGTGCCCGTTCCCGAGAAACGGCCCATTCCGCGGATGCCGTGACGGCCGCGGCGACTCTCTGATGTCGAGCCGATTCTCGAGCGCACCGCGTCGATCGCAAAACCGCCGATTTCCCCGCTTCCGTGCGTCGTAGCGACGTGAAACGAAGACCGTCGGAAAGCTGAAAGTATCGCTCTTCCGAATTCCGATGGACACGCGGTCGTTCCTCGATCGGGTGTGATCAGCGCGGTTAGTCATAGCCGAAGATGTCGAATGTTCTCGGCTCGAGGCGGAGGCCGGGAAACCGCGACTCAAATTGCTAACGCTGCGAAGCAGTCAGTTTTCCGTGCTCGATGGATACCAAGTGCCTGATCAGAGAAGAAAAGAAAGTAATAACGAGAGCTCTCTTCTGATTTCAGTAGCCGTGCGTATTTGTTCGATTCGTTCGGCAGATATTATGCGGGAAACCGAGAACGGTGCGCATAGTTGTCAGAGTTAAATTCTCATCTGTAATTTAAAAACTCTGTGCACACGCACACACACATCGGTGCCGCCAACGGTATTGGTATCGGATACAAAATCATTATCTCATCTTTCGCAGAATTAATCGAAACCCGCGCGTCGACGCGCCGGGACGTGCGCGCTCTCTCATCGCGCGAAATCGCGAACGCGACGCGATCGCCCGGCGAGCAGCGAATTAAATCGACCCGCTCGGCGAATTAAAAATTCGAAGCGACGTCGACCGCGCGACGCGTCAATAACGCGATGTCACTTACCGCACCACCGCCGATTTCAATTACAGATTTTATTCAATATTTATCCGCGAGTTTTTCACCGCTCGTCACGCTCGGCAGCCCGCTGCAAAATGTAAAAGCAGCGCCTAGACGTAACGCGTGTTTCGCCGCGCGCATCATCGTGAAACGCGAAAATAGCTCGTTAAATCGACCAATTACACAATTGTTGTTTGTCTTGCGCCTGTTTTACGGGGCTGACTCTGTCACAAAGCCGCGGACGTTGTCTCTTTTTTGCAATTGTAACGAGCTCCCGATTCAATAGATTACTTGTAAAATCGCTCATTAACGGCAGATGATGGAACTTGAGAGAGAGAGAGAGAGAGAGAGAGAGAGAGAGAGAGAGAGAGAGAGAGAGAAGGAGGGAGGCAAGAAAAGAGAAAGGGAGACACAGTGAAAGAACACCACCGGTAAGAAACTCTCTCTCTCTCTCTCTCTCTCTCCCTCTTTCTCTCACCGCGTACATTTTTACGAGAGAAAGGGAGAGAGGTAAAAGCACGAACGTAATCTTCGCCTGTTATAAAGTTACACTTTTCTCATTTTCAGACCCTCTCGTGTTCTAACGAGTGCGCGACGTGACGGCACGTCATCGCTTTAATATTTGATACGGCCCTACGCAATTTCGTCCTCTTCGTGCTGTAAAAAATCTCGTTATATATTACGACGGACCGATTGGCGAAACGGACGCGGGAGATTGAGCGAAGGGTTGCTGGGAAGAGGGCTGGAATAGAAACGCTCGAAATAAATGTCGCGTTGCACTTTGGCGAGGCACGCTTTTGCAGATGCGCGAGATAATGCGGTTTTACGGATGACCGATTCGATTGTAATTTCGGAATTCGTTCGCGTCGCGTACGAGCGCGCGGCGTGTCGCGCGAATAGAATGTCACGATGTTAATTGGCCGTGTCGGGAAGTTCATCGCGCGGTTAAGCGAACTGCGTCCCGAAATCGCGCATTAAACGCGCTCGCGGCCGGGGAGCGAGGGGGAATTGACATGGCGCGATTTAAAGAAGCCAGGTCCGAAGGACAAATTTAAATAGCCCGAGAGAGCTGGTGAGTCAAAGCGGTCGAATGACAAATCGGGAATCACGGAGTCGCATCGCGCCACGATTTGAAGGTCGGCTTAAAAGATCACCGGAGTATAAAAGCTCCGAGTAGGAGAGAAAGATTTGGACGTCGCGTGTATTCCACGGAAACGCGTTTCTCAAGCATCGGGAGTGCGCACTGCGCACTGAGCGGCTAAATCTCGCGGCGGTTCGTTTAAGCGCGCTGAATTGTGCAACGCGGGGTACGGATTATTTTGCTAGATTGAGAAACAACGTGAGAGCGAGAGATGGGAATTCATTGCGCGATGGAATACGAGCGAGCGAGCGAGCGAACAGATTTGTAAACGTGCAAACATTTCCCGCGTTGCGGGCAGGCCTCCGTCTCTCGTTTGAGGTCGCGAATCTCATGAATCGCGAAATGTATTACGGATCTTCCTCTCTCTCTCTCTCTCTCTCTCTCTCTCTCTCTCTCTCTCTCTCGTCTTCAACGTCGACAGCGTGATAGATTAAGCGAACGAAATTGCGATCGCCTGCGGCCTCGCGCGGCTTTCGTATGTCGTGTCGCGTCGTCTCGATCGGTGAGCATCGATCGGCATCGAGCCTCGGCCCGCGACGAATAAGTCGAATGAACGATGCATCGATATTACAAACACTCACTCGGATCCTTGACGGCGGTGATGACGAGGCGGAAGCCGTTCTCTTTGGTGCCCCAGGCGTCGGTGACGTATCTCAACGTCACGAAGTTGGTGCGCGTGTAAATCGCGCCCACGGTCTGCTTCGTGTTCCTGCAGGATAGGTCTGCCTGGAAACAAAAGGAAATTACGTTCGTCGAGTATGTGTGCTGCCACTTGCGGGATCTCTCTCTCTCACTCTCTCTCTCTCTCTCGCTCTCTCTCTCTCTCTCTCTCTCTCTCTCTTTCTCTCTCTCTCACTCTCTCTCTTTCGGCCGGGAACGCTCGTGCTAACGATGCAAATGTCGCGGGCGCGATATCGAGCGAACGACATGGGGGTGGACTACTACGGCACAAACCCGCGCACGCGTCCGCTTGATTTACGCCGGCTAAGTTTTATATCGCGATGGACTAAAAGTCCCGATCAATGTACAGTTCGCGGAGCCGTCACCGTGATATGTATCTCGTCTCGTCGCGAGGGTTGAATCAATTTCGCTTGACGCGGAGGGACGTCGCGTATTGCCTGAGACTTTAATTGGCGTCTTTCAGCCTAGTTGGACATTATTATCGCGCACAAAATATATCTTTTTCGTACTTTCCGCAGTGCACTTGAAGCGCGATTTCATATCACCCGGGAGAAAAAACTTCGCCGATGTATCATCAGCGATAATAAGAATCTCCCTAATGCAATGCATGTCGTCAACTCTTCCCTTGTACTAAGTCGGGCTAAAGATGACAAAGGCATTGCAATCTCGTGACGACGAGAGAGTCAGAATGGCGGCTCGGGCCAACCGTCAAATAACGTCTCCGTCTTTCCACTTTTAATAAAGCAGTCAACCGCAGTGCGAGACTGTTCCACTTCTCGGAGAAATTCGACTTCGACTTGCCGAGCCACACCGAGGCTTGCGGCTGTAAATTAGCGCGGTTCGTCGCGAAACAAAGCTGATGGTTGGGTAATCCTCAAGCGCAAGCCTTAGATATCAATTCGAGCGACGACGACGACGACGACGACGAGAGGGAGAGCGAGCGGGAAATTTATTCGTAGATTTTCGCAGCGGTATCTCGCTCGTTTGCCTCGAGACACGAGCGACATAACACTTGTTGCACCCCCGCGGCCAAGAACGAAAGAAACTGAAACAAACGGCCGCAAGAACGTCGCGCAGAGCGCAAAAAGAGCGCAGCCGATGGCGCGCGGGCGTATCGATCGAAGCGCGATTTTCTTGTCTCGGCGCGATGCGCCTTGTCTCGGCTTCTCGAGGGAGTCGTGCTGGATTTTCGTGTCGCGTGGAGTCAGCCGCAAAAAATCGAGCGGGGCAGCAAAGCCAGCTGCAATCAAGTGGGCAGTTGCGAGCGCGTTGTTGAGATAATTAAGAGAGAGAGAGAGAGAGAGAGAGAGAAATAGAACGTCGCAATATGTTTCCTGCGAATCTTTCCTGCATTTTTCAACTTTGGCGTCGAAATTTCGAGATCAGAGATATCCGCGGCTAAGTTTTATTCGCTAACGGGCATCGCGATCGCGTGCTCGACCGTTTCTAGCGAGGACTTATCCGGCGCCTCCCTTATCTGGGTATCGCGAAAATCGCAATTTCGCAGTACGGAAAATTCAAAGTGCGGAAAAACGAGAACGAGTCTGACGCAGCGGGTAGGAGGGTGGAGAGAGAGAGAGAGAGAGAGAGAGAAGGGGAGCGAGAGAGTTGTACGGATGATAACAGTTTAAATTACATTCCAGGCACGCGTTTCCGCATAAACAACTTTTATTGAGATTTTAACTTGGCTGCGTTGCGCGACGGCGGGGTTACGCGGTGCTTACTCCAGTATTTCCGCCTCGTTCGAACCCTAACACTCGTGTCCCCCGCCTCCCTCTCTCTCTCTCTCTCTCTCTCTCTCGACTGGTTCTCTCCTTCCTTTTACTTCTCCCTTTTTCCCCTTCTTTTCTTTCTTCTTGTCCTTTTCGCCTTCGATTCGCGATCGCTCGGCTCTTCTCGCGCTGTCGCGAAATATTATCGAATCCGTCGTAGGTCGTAGCTTTAATAACTGTCTCCTTCCCGTTCCAATTAGCGTGGACGAGCGGCCGTAGCTGCGACGGATAATCCGCATTTAATTATCCCTCCTCGTTCGCCGAACTTTGGCTCACCGCCCGACCCTTTTCCCCACGCACACACACACATACACACACACACACACACACACACACACACACACACACATACATACATCCTCTCGCAGTATACGTCATCTCCCGCGACAAAAACAGCCGTGCAATCCCCGGCGCATCAGATAAACGGAAATAATTAGAGTTGCCGTGCGTGCGCCGCATGAAGCTCCGAGGGAAGCGTCCGCGTTTAGGGATGCAGGCAGGATGTGTGTGGAATTTTGGAAGTACGGGCCTCCCATCTACCTTCAGCTGCGCTCGCGGTTGTTGCGTTCCCCGCTTATATTAGCCGTCGAATGTGCGATATTCTTGGCCGTAAAATGGATAAGAGATGAGGAAACGTGAAACTGTTCTATTCTATTAATGAGTACATAAAGTGACGCGTCAGTGAGGCGACCCTCTTCACTTTCTTTCTCCCGCTCTCGTGATTTTTCATTTGGCCAAGAGACCGTGATGTGACCCTCCCCGACCTTTGTTATCCATATGAATGAGTCGGACGAGAATCGAGCGGCGCTCCATCGTGTATTAATATCGACAACGTGTGACCCTCGCCGATGCTCGACGACGACGTCGTTGAGCCACAGATCTCGCGCATGGTGTATCGGTAGAAAATCGGTCGTCGACTTCTTCGCTCTCTCCGCGGATCCCGATTCCGCGGCGCGATCCTTTCCGTGCGACGAGCGTCGCGGACCAACCGGCGGACAATTGCGATAATCAAGCGGCCACGGTCGGATCTAATTGCCGGGATCTCGCTCGCTGAATGGAGGCTCGCCTAATTTGCGATTGCATTATTATCGGCGAGATACATAGACGTAGAGAGCCAGCTCTGTCCTGTCCGTCCGTCCGTCCGTCTCTCCTCTCGCGCGGCGATGCACTGCCGGGCGCACTGATACTCTATAGGGTCTATTTGCGCGCGGCAAATTGTGTACCCTGCCGTATTAGGATTGCGTCCGTGCGCGCACGGCGGTTTAATAACGTGCTCGCCGATCGACCGCGTGTCAACGGACGAGCGCCTGTCAATTCCGACGACGAGAGTCATCGATCATGCACGAAACGTAGGGTTAAGTAATCCGCAGCGTCGAGCCGCTCGTAGACGTGACCTGCCAGGCGGAAGGGCTGCTTCTGTGACGGAGGGGGACGCTGTATAGGGCGCTTGTAAAATTACCGCTCGGCGGTACGCTCTCTGCCTCTGTATGCGTGTATGTGTTTACACGGTTTAGCTTAGACGAACCGCCGGCGACGCGTGTAGACTTGCGTCGAGCGATCGCCGCGCGGTGTGATCCGTCATTCGACGAGCCGCGCGCGCGTTCGAATAAGTCGCAAGAAACGGGCGGAAATTCGCGTGAATCGGCCGCCGCCCCCCCCCCCCTCCCAACCGCCGTTTATCCACGTTGTTTTAATAGAACATTAGACGGTCGTCAGCCGTCTGAGCTCCGCTTCGCAAAGTCGCGTTATCGCGAGACGCAAGTCTGATGATGAGCGCGATGTTCAAGACGGCTAGAAGATAGGCGTGGACGAATAAGGGTCGATCTTTTTATCGCTCGTCATCTTATCGCGCTCTCCCGGCGGATTAATCGCGATCGTCGAGTCCAACGCTCGCTCGTCGCCCGGAGAAGCAAGTGTCTCCTGCGAGGCAGAAGCATGAATAACCGACGATCCGAATGAGCTTCTTTTGTGCGCATCCTGCATAAAGGTCAGAGAATTGAAGTGGTAGTTGGATGGACGCGAAGCGAAGGTAGGAACCCGGGCGACGAGTCGGACGAGTTCAGAGATCGCGCGAGATTAGATACATCTTCAGGGGGTGGAACGTCGCCGTCTCCTCCTCCTTCTTCTGCTCCGTCGTCGTCGTCGTCGTCGTCGTCGTCGTCGTCGTCGTTTCCTAGCTGAATGGCGATGCCGTGAAGTAAACGCGAATGGAGGCCGCGTGCATAAGAGGACCGCCTAATCTGCATTTACATAGCTTTCAGCGCGTATTTCGCGAGAATGGAGCCCCCGAAGCCTCGGAGGTACAATTTCTCTTTCGCCGCGCGGCGCGGCGCGGCGCGAAAGAAGGCCTCGAGCGAGCTTACGACAATGCCGCTCTAAGTCGCTTCCGAAGGGGCTTCGAAAGAGACGTCGAGTGGCGGTCGCCCGCTCGTACTCGTCCACCCGGCCATTGTCGCGCGTGCAAACAACGGGATCCTTCCTAGAAGGATGCGGCAGTTGGGCCGAAATCTCCGCCGGGAAAACAGCCCGAGGTATGCGCCGCGACGAAGAGCGCGCGCGGTCTCACGAGCGGTCGCGAGCTGTTTTCTCGCGCCAATGCTTCGACGAGGGAGTGCATTTCCCGCGGAGGCGCGTCGATAGATCACAAGGATCCCAAGGGCGGGAAGGAGGAGCAGGGGGATTTTCCAAGTGCGTGAAATACGTGAGTTCGAAGCGGACGCCGTCGCGCGCGTAATTTGTCGCGTTCGGGCACAAAAGCTCGCGAGAGCGCGGCAGCCGGCCGCGCGAAACGATGGGCGGTAAACATTACATCGACGGCTCAAAGTCGCGCTCATATTTCCGTTATATGCGTCCCATAAAATTTATCCTCCCCCCTCCCCCCCCCCCGCCGCCGCCGCCGCCGCCTAGCAGTATATATTCCCCGACGCAGTACTGCGCTTCCGCCGTTATAAATTGCATGCGGCGCGCGCGCGCACGCGCGGTGCGCCTTTGTACGGAGGGATGCGGTTGCCGAATGCTCGCGCGCTCGCGTTTTACGACGTGCACGCGCTCGCGACGGGTACATGAGTCGTTTTCGGGCGGGGCACTATGCGCCACATTATTTACCCCCGGTGTCGCCGCTCGTCAAAACGCAGCGAGACGAAGCGGATAACGCGCGCGCGTCCCTGCGCGGCGAGGGAGGCTCGACTCGACCTCGTCCTCGTCGGGGACACTCGCGCTCACGCTGTATCCGTTCGCTCTCGAACTCGAGTCGTTCCCGTGGAGATCACCCGC